AAAACATCCAAGTAATGAAATCATGATCAATTGCAGTTGTGCTGCAAAAGTCGTGATTGTCAACATGTCTCCTGATCAGTTTTACAAATTAATTCGAAAAACACAAATAACAAAAGTGACACAAAAAATAAAACAATACATTGGCAACAGCTTCTTTCATAAGTGCTTTCATGTGTGCTATGTATATCAAAGCATCTTTTCTCTTCCATGGATATGACCAACATACTATATATTACAATTTAACTCTGCAACGGCTCAATGGTCCATTTATGAAACCACATTAAAATTCACTGCATCTGTATTTTATTTGGATCTGCACCAAATTGAACACATTGTATTTTTGAATGAATTAGCATGAATATTGTCTGAGAAATCAATAAAAAAGGTGAAATAAAAACACTGAACCTGCACCCTGATCTGGATCCACATCAAAATTCAATCCCCTCTTCCTTGGGTCATGCCCCACCCCCCACAAAATTTCATGGATCAGATTGTGTGTAGTTTTTGTGTAATCCTGCTAATTTACAAACGAACACAGATGAAAACCGAACCTCAATGGTGGAGCGTGAAGCAAGTGGAGAATGTGAAAGTGAGCGCCGCTACTTGGTGGTGGATAATTTATCAGACACTAATGATGCAAACTCCGTGTGGTGCTCCACGTCAGTCGAGGTAAACCTTACGAGTTGCCTGATGATATTGTTTGATGCAGATCTGGAACAACAAGCGTGGGACTGTTTGGAGAGATGGTCTTGGGCCTGTGGGGAACATTAAATGGACTGGAGTAAAGGTGAATGTAACTTGATGACAGATTCTCAGGCGAGAGGCAAGACTCTCGAACCCTGGTGTAAGATAATGTGTATAATCTACTGCAGGGATGTTAAGTGCACTCATTTCACACTCCATTTCACACAACGCTGCCCCAGGAAGAATCTGTGTGTATGATGACTCAGGAAATGCACAGCATCCCTCTTCTGGATCTTTCTGTTGTTTTCCTGCATTGTTAATAATTTGAAATCCTGTTGTTTTCCACATTATTTCACAGTTATAAATTTACAAGATAATGTGCAAAATTTGAATAGTATAACCTCAAAGCAGCGCACCATCTGTTTAATGGGATATCCTGGTACAAGGACAAACATTTCATTTCCATCTATAATAGAAAATCCCAGTGAGTGTTGATGGTCTATTACAGCGTGTTTCAGGATATCATGAAATATCTATGAAACTCCTTATGATGTAATTAACACAACACGTGTCCATCAGCTTAAATATCGTCTATTGAAAAACCATTATACAACATAAACACCACAACAAGAGTGACTCCTCAGAGGGAGACAAAAGCCTAATTATGGGATGTTTTCTTGATTATTAATGTAAGAGAGTAATGGATGGTTGTGAATGCATTTCTGCATGAAAGGGACAATTTGCCTCAATATGGATTTTTTTCTTTCTATCTTTATTCAAGGTCTTGGTCTTTCAGTTTGAGACCAGGAATTATTGATTTCATGAATACCAGATTTCAGATTTTGTCATTCAAACAGCCCCAGCTTGTGCTTAATTTTATATCAAACTGTACGCTTGCACTCAGATATTTTGTTGCTTGGGCAGATTTCCTAGCGTTTGTAACTATAAAAATAAAATATGAGCAACCCTGTTTGTTTCTGCTCTCCTGTTCCTTATGGGAACAGTACAAACAGCGTAAGTTACCACAACAAGGGCGGGACAAGTTCAAAAATTGTATATATTTAAAAGCAGAGGAGAACGGACATAGGCAGTGTGAGAGCAAGAAAAAAGAGCTGAAGCTGGAGCGCAGATAATCTGAGCACAAGCTGTAGTGTAATTTTTGGTCACTATACAATGTCACAATATGAATGTCACTATATACCTTTAATCTGCACAATCTGCACTATAATCTAATGTATGTTGAAGTTAAAGAGAAACATAATTTACTGATGATCATAACAAGTTTAACACAACAATGACGAACCAAACAATATACTCAGTGGTACAAGCAGTATGATGT